GGAAAGCTATGTATTGACCTGCTGTTATTTAGGTCAGGTTGTAAAATAAGATTTTTACTGTAACTGACCCGATGACATCAACCTTACTGTTTTATTACATTTCTGATTTTTTTTTCCTTCTTTTTTGGTTATCAATTTATATGGATGAGTTATGACCAGAACAGGATCTGCTAGGAGTGAGCATTCTTGTTAATGTAATTTATCACTATTGTTTCTCCCTTTTTTTTTTTTGGCCTCAGTGTCTGGGAGTGACATCATTTAAACTTAGCTTTTAGAACTGCCTGTTAGCACAAATTGCTGACAGAGAGCTGAAAGAGGCTTGCCTTTTGCAATAAACAAAACTCAAGACAACAAACCTACAAAGTGCCTTTATTCTTTGAATCACGTATTTCTGTTCCTTGTTCAATGTTTCCACAACCTGGGTTTTATATGAAAGGTTTTGTCACAGTCGTTCTTTACATAATACAGTCTTATTTTGTCATCATTGTGAAGGGTCTACCTTCAGTTCTGATGGTAGACCCTTCCTTCCACTGCAGACGCAGATGAGGGAAAACATGCAGCAGACCACCTGGTACTGTTCGCTAAAGGCCTTACTGCCTTTTACGCCAGAGTTTTGGATCAAAATAATCTAAACTTGGAAATAATGGAGTCTTTCTGGTAGAGAGATGATAAACACAGTTTCACACACATTGTGCAATTTTATGCAGTTCAACAGTTTTTAAATATATTCGGGGGTTGACCCTCAGCTCATGCCATAGTCTGAGCTCCATGTGTGGTAATTCATTTAGAGCTGCCATTGTGTTTGCTAAGGTTAGTAAAGGACAAGGTTATCTTTATTTCCAAAAAAAATCACACACACACACACACACACACACACACACACACACACACACACACACACACACACACACACACACNTATATATATATACACAAAACCAGTACATTGAAATCTATTAAAACATTGTAGGCAGTTATTTTATCAACTGTGAGGAACCATTGCAGCAGAGACAAGTTTTATCAGGTGAAAAAGAACACCACATGGTTCATCATGTCATCTCACTGATAATTTATGCTGTTTGGAATTAGTATTTCTTTTTACAAGACAACCCAAAGATGCGAGTGGAGAAATCTTGCATTGTATAATTTTAGTGAAAATACCATGSATGTGAAGACAGTGTGTGATTTGACAAGACCAGGCGAGATGAAGAGGCAGCAGGTTGAAGCAGGTTAAACTGGAGAGGAAGAGTAACTTTGAGACACCGGAGCCAAACAACAGCTTCTTTATCTGCAGTGGTTTCAGATAGGAATGTAAAATTCAAGGGAAGCAGAGATGGAGATATATGGTCTCGACAGAAAAGACAAACAAAAGAGTATTTTTATTTTTATCACCTCCTGTTTTGAAACGTGTAATGGAAAGCTATGTATTGACCTGCTGTTATTTAGGTCAGGTTACAAAATAAGATTTTTACTGTAACTGACCCGATGACATCAGCCTTACTGTTTTATTCTGTTTCTTTTTTTTTTGTCACTTCAGTAGAAAACAAAACCAAAACATTAGTTTATTTAGTTTATTTATTTCTTCATCATCAGTGGCTTTTTTTAAGTGAAGAGAAAATAGAGACAGAGAGAAAAACACAGAGAGAAGTAATTAGAAWGATAGAAAGATTGAAATGGCGATTAGAAGTATATTAAATATACACCAACAAAACACAGGACCACACACCCAACATCTGTCTACTCACCTGAAAAATAAATGGATCAGTATATGGAGGGCATATATAAATATATAAAATACCCATACATATATAAAGATATGCATACATACATGCCTACATTCATAAATATTGTCAGTATATACACACAGACATATATACACACTCAGTGACCAGTCAGAACCCCCGGATCAGAACACCTGTTTGTGAGCAGTTGTGAACATGCGTGTATATACAAGATTTCTCCAATGGAATATTTAATAGTGACTGTGGAGGACCGAGACCTAACCCCCAAGACACGAGGCAGACATAGGGAAGACCAGAGCCCAAGGGCCTGAGAGGAATCCCGAGTGCAGAGCCCCAAGGGGCACCTGCACGGGAAGATCTGCCCACCCACCCCACCAGTTCAGACCGTAGAGGAGAACTGGGAGAGTCCCCCCAGCGACCACACGCACAGCCCCCGGGGCCAGCAGCGACAAACTCATGGGCCCCACCGGCACCYGCCATACCAAAGCAGATCCAGGAAATTATTTATATTTTTGCTTCTTTTAAGTAACTCACAGTTTTGTTACTCCCAGTTTCAAAGTCCTTCAGAACAAAACTAAACAACCTATAGAGCCCCATGGAATGTGTAAGAGTTCAGTCTTACACTTACTCTTATAACAAAGTTATAAGAGTAATTTATTTAGCAAGGATCACTTTTATTTTGGGTAAACATTCCTCTAGTGCATAAATGAATGGACACACAAGAAGTGACTCTCAGTCAGTGAATGTTGATTTGATCCATAAATATTGCCATCATTTATTTTACAAATCATACAGAATCACTTTGTATACACTTAATTGTGGCAATCAGTTTCCTATAAAAGTTTAGAACCGACAATAACAAGCTTCTAGCTTCTTAAATTGTCAACAAACACTTAAATAGAACATAAATGTCAGCTTAGATTTTAAATACCAGACATTTGAGRCAATTATCTTAGGGTTGGCAACGGCGAAGCGTTCTACTCGGCATCGGCCAGACAGAGCGGTTACAGCAGCCAGCTTTTTACCTTAAAGATGCTTTTCTGTCAYCTTGTCCAGGTATTTCGGGGGTGCTGCTGGAAAATCCGTCTCAGAATCGTCAAACAGGGAACCCCAAGGCGTGTTTTTGTCTCGCTTGGTCCACGGCAAGCCATAGAAAGAAGTCGACCCCAAATTGGAAACTGGCTTCAAAAAATAAAACTTTTGTCTGGATAGTTTCTGAAGTGGATTGACCAGGTGTTGGTCATCCAGGCTGTGAGGTTTCCTTGTTGGCGATGAAGAGGTAAACCTGTCACAGCTTTAGCTCTTGACTCAGAGAGTCTAGGTGTCAGAGTGACTGACGGCGGTCCGTCACTTACTGCCGTCCGGACGGAAACTGTTAGTACTAAAGAARMTTAGAGAATCTAAGTTTCGCCCTCCGGAGGTAAGATTAGTGAAGTTATATCAAGGAAAAGGTTAGTTTCAGAGATTAGCCGTGCCTCCGGAAACTAACAAATTATTGCTGCTGTGTGGTTCAGAACAAAACATTTCATGACCTATATTAATTATCATCTGATGAGGAGTCTTCAAAACATAACTGRAAGAAGAATGAATTGTTTCAAGTTCAAAACATTTGCAAATATGATTCAGACAAGTAAAACATTGACATTTCATCAGCTTTAAACCATAAAGATTATTTTAGTTAAATAAGATTATTTCCACAGAAAAACCATACAGAGCTGAAATCATACTGAGGGAGAAAAGAGATCTGTCCTCTTTTTTCCTGTAACTTTGATAAACATTCTCTGATTATCAAAATGYGTAATACTTTCAGTTAAGAGAACACTAAATCAAATAAGACGAAGATTCTTCTGTTTATTATCTGATTTAGAAGGAAGAGAATGTCTCTCTGAAAAGTTAAGGCAACCTGAGGTGGCCTTGATTCAGTTCTAAGTGGAACAGAGTTTTTGTCCCTTCGAAGGCTCATCAGAGGACTGAGAGTCCAAGACAGTTTCTTTGATAATTTAACTCGAGGTGACCCCTACAAATGGAAAAAAGTCAATGCAAAATCCCACCTCTAATTTATCAAAAATTAAAATTGAATTGAACTGAAGGAAATTTTGTAACTGATTAACTGAATGTTAGATGCAGTTTTGTATTTTACACTTTCTGATCATTTCAGCTTTTAAGTTAAAGAGTTGGTGTGTGTCTTATCATGTGTTCTTTCTTTAGTCTGAACAAAAATGAGTTACATTCTGAYGTCTGATGTAAAAGGTAACACCTCCAGAGGTGTAACCAGGAAGAGATGTACATTATAAGCTCATTTCATTATTATAGTAAGAGGTGGTCAGTGTTTGGCAGAGTCTCTGCTTTAGAGCAGGGCTCCTGTGTTTTGTTTTGATTTAGCTCAAGGTCTTACACTGAGACCTGAGTGCTGTACTGTGAACCTGATTGGAGTCAGAAGATTGAAAATAAAGTTTTAAAGAAGAAATCCAGAGGATTCCTGTTTATTCGGACATACCATATTTTTCCTACAGAACAGTTTCAAACCTTTATTTGGAAAAAGAAAAAAATGAACTGAGTTACAAAGTTTTAGTTATTCAAATGGATTTTTAGGTGATTTTATTATACAAACGAGAAATTGATATTTTCACAACCTCTGAGCAGACAAGGCTATGCCCCCCACCACTTGTGCTCTCTGGGGSCCCCAGGTTGGGAACTACTGTGATAGACATGTAATTATGTTTATATAAACTGACTACATTGTCTCACAATTATTTTATCTTATTAAATGTTCAGAATGATCAGAAATCTGATAACATTTAGATATAAAGTCAAACCATTTTAGAACCATTAGTCATTGAACTAAAGCTAACAGAATATGTTCACCTTATTAAGGATTGTGTTTATTATTTTCTTAAAATTGTTTTATCTGTTGTACAGAATTTGTCCTGATTTCAGCTTTAAAAGAAGTTAATCTTTACCTGCAGGTACTCTGTTTCTGGTATGAAGTAGAACATGTCTGAACAGCTTCGAAAGATCCAGGTGTGGATGTGTCATAAAATAAAGAAATGTTAAAAAATATATTTGAATTAAAAAAACTTTCCTTGTTACTGCAAGATAATGTAAAAGATAAAATCTGTTAAATCTATTAATCTGAAAATTATTTCCTTGAGTTTCTTGCAGTAAATTGTGGCTCTGTCAGTGCTTTTAAGCGGTCTTCTATTCCAGGACAAGTCTGTTCACGTTCAGCCTATTAATAAGCCGAGCAATAGTCACTGAACACATTCCCACTTTAGGATGATCCACTGTGCTCTGCTGCCTGGACTCAGGTTGATTCAAAACACTCAAGAAAATTAAGTTTGCACATCGTCATGGTAGGTGCAAAAAAAAATAAACTTTGCGTGCAACAGTTTTTTGTTTTTCTCTCTTGTTAAATCTAAATTTATGTGCAGATGAAAGCAACAAGTCCCTCCAGTGCTCCCAGGATACATTGGGGATTAGTCGGGGTTTTTGTTTTCTGCTTCAACTTGGCAGCATATTTTGCAGGTGAGTTTTCTAATGTTTGTTCAAAATTAAATCATTAAATATTGCCTGTAAATCCAGCTTTAACTGTGAGTGCGTTCCTCATGTAAACAGACGTTAGAAGTGAGGAGAAACATGTTTCTGACACTGTTCAGTTATTAGTGCAGTCATTTATACAGTTCTGGCTCAGTGGTTAGGARAAAAAAAAACATGCTCATGGATTAATGTGTGATCAGTATATTTGCAGCACGTTTACACTCCTCCATTTTGTTTTGTGGTGTTACAAGTCTGCACTCGTTTTTGTCGAGGTYGTGGTTTTCCATTGTAAAGTCCAAATCTGCAATTATGAAATCCAGCACATTTTCTTTAACAATATAAATTCAASTTTAACTTTCAGCCAGGCCCCCGTTTGGTTTATATAAAAATTTCCACACCCCCACAACCACTGCTCAAACATCTCCAACCAGACACACAGATATYCTGTTTTCAAAAAGCCATTGCAGTCTCTTTCACAGCACAACCTTTTTTGTACAGATAACAAAAAAAGTGTATGCATGGCATTGAGATAATAATGTGTGTCCACAAGATCATTTTAACAGCTGTGTCCCTTTGTGAAAAATATAGATGTTGTTAAAATCAGATTATTATGGTCACAGTACTGTATAATTTTTTGCATTCATTTCCCTGCAGAGATGATTGATTGATTGATTGATTGATTGATTGATTGATTGATTGATTGATTGATTGATTGATTGATTGATTGATTGATTGATTGATTGATTGATTGATTGNGATTGATTGATTGATTGATTGATTGATTGATTGATTGATTGATTGATTGATTGATTGATTGATTTTATTTTAATATAGGAATAAATGACATCTGTCACTTGTGGTAATTCTTAGCATTATAAATATTTCTTTTTTATGTTTCACTGTTCAAAGATACCCCACACTTACTCCTATTCTTATTCTTATTCTTATTCTTATTATTAATAATATTATTAGTGTATGTTTAATCTAAACAGTTCATTTTTTTATGAAATGACAATGAATGTCCTAGGTGTGTCAGAAAACTGATTTTTTTTTTACTGTGTTCCTTAACGTGACATCAGTTTGATTCCTTCCACAGCAAAGGCACGGTGTGTGTGAGAGGAGATAAATTTAAAAAAAAAAACATAAAAAAAAACTTTTTGGAAAAATACAACTCCAGTCAGCACTTGTGTCTTACAGCTGCAACATTTTAACACTAAGAAATACTTCATGCCTGTATTACTTTGTTCTTATATTAAAATAAAATGAAATAAACAATCAATAAATCAAAGGTCTCTGCATGGAAAGAGTGCAAAAATTATACTGTGACCATAAGTTATCTTGTGGTCATGCATTTTTTTTTCATCCACTGTCACTGGATGTGCTCCATACAACTCAACTGATGAAAGTAAAGTGAAATAAACTACAACCTCTTTTAAAAAAAAATACACATTTATAGTATACTTATTTTAAGTGACATTTGATTTACTGGGTATAAAAACCTTTCTGTTATTCTAGCGAAACTTAAGCATTCCTTTTGTTTTTTATTTTCTTTCATAGCACCTCCCCCTGCAATGGCACCCACTCTAGGGGGTGCACGCCCCACTGTGGAAACCACTGACATAAAAACCTTTAGTTTTATATCAACTCATCTACAGATTAGTCATGTCACTTTGATTCATAACAAAATGATTCATCGAATATGTCCCCAGAGACATAACTTCTGTTCTAAATGAGACCATTCACCAGTCAGAGCATAAGATCTTCGATCCAACAGAGAGAGACAGACTGGGTCACTTATGAAAGCATTAGGGAGGGAAACCAGCCAGCAACATGATGCAATTTAATCTTAGCTCCTGGAAATGACCAGATATTTGAGACTCCCAGGCCAAATAATTTTACTGTGTAAAATGTTAATAAAAACAGGATGTATGGTGATGATCTGCAAATTTCATAAACCCGTATTTTATTTTTGCCAAAGAACACAGTCAACACATCAAATCTAACCCTGATTTTATTTTATTTTATTTTATTTTTTCTCTCTGATCAGCCAACAATGACGTGGCTCTGCAGACCAAGTTCTGGGTGTCTGCAAACTGTGGAGAAACTGTGAACCTAATGTGCAACGCCACCGCACCACAGCCGTGGAACATCGACATCAAAAAGTTTTTCTGGCAGTTTGAAAACAAAACGTGTGAGTACGGGCAAAACCCCACGGACAGCGAGTTTTGGTGCGGAAGCACCAACACCACGTTCAGCCGCACCATCACTCTGACCCTGCGGAACGTCACGCCTGCCGATGAGGGGAAATACCTCTGCAAGCTCCACTCAACGATGGGATCATGGAATAACGGAAGCCAGCTGAGAATAGAAGGTGAGGACTTGTTCAAGTGTGGGTTCAGACCTTTGGAAGCGAGGTTCTGTGGAAAAAAATCCAAACAATTCCTTTCTAATATGTCTTCCATCTTTACAGGTTGTGTGGGAAAGTCTGAAACCTCCAAGAATGACTCGTATGTCAAGTGTTCGTTTGAAGGGGTTTACCCCAGCGGGGTGGTTCACTGGTTCTGGGGAAACAAGAACCTAACAGATGTTGCCAGCGTGACGGAAACGAAGGACAAACAAAATCGTTTCAACATTCGAAGCACAATAAAGCTGAGGGAAGGACACCAGAGAGAGCCTTACAACTGCTCACTGTGGAGCCCTTCTCTTGGCAGGTATCTCGTCACTCTGAACTCAGGGTGTTTAATCAAACTTCAGTGGATCTGTGTTGTTGTCATGGTGGTGGTAAGTTTAGTGATGTAAGAGTTTTGACATAATGGTCAGAATGAACATGAGCAACCAACTAAGGGAGGAGCGGGATTCTTAAAAGCCTCTCTTTTTTTGTAAATATTGTCTAATAGTGTTGTTGTGAGGAAATCATGTTTTTTTTTCCTCATTAGAAACTGAAACTGAAAAAGAAAAATATCTGCATCCTAAAATGATTTTTGAAACCATTTTCTACCACTTGATGGCAGCACAGTGTTGTCAAAACTGATGCAAACTAAGCTGAAAATGAAAGCCTTTCTGTTCAAGAAGTTAGATTTATTGCTTTTTTTGTTAAAGTGAGGATTTCTGGATCTTTGATTTTCATCGTAACTCTTCAACAGGCAGGAAAAATAATTACCATTTCTTTATTTGGAGGCCAAACGTATAGGACTGAATCTGAC